AAAGTGTTTTGGGGACAGAAGTGCTGCAAATATCAAATATGAGATGGATTGACATAAGAGATTTACTGACAGTTAAAAGGGATTACCTTGTGAAACCCACAAGTGCGGATTCAAAGCACTCAACTCAGAAATAATCTCAACATCTTTGAAAGGACTATGGGGCTGGGAAAGGATTTCTGCATTTGCAGTTTCCTTAACACTTTATTTTATGGCACCAAAATGCTAAGATATGTGCTCAGCACAGAGCCAAATTGAGAACCTAGATTCCAGGGGCCCAGAATCCAACTGGTAGATTCTGGGAACCCGAGAACTCTTTCTTAGTCCTGTTCTGTCCTTTCAGGAAAGAAACACTACTATTATACAAACATTAAGAATAATATATTTACAAACATTAAGAATGTGATTAATCTACATCAGTGGTTCTCAACCTGGGGTCCCCAGATGTTTTTGGGCTACAACTCCCAGAAATCCCAGTCAGTTTACCAGTTGTTAGGATTTCTGGGAGTTGAAGGCCAAAAACATCTGGGGACCCCAGGTTGAGAACCACTGATCTACATCAACGGCATAAAATGTGTGAAGCTCCAAATGCTGTTCAACTGCCACTTCTAGCATCCATCACTAATGGCCGTACTAGCTACTACAATTGGGAATTGTAATCCAGTAATATCTAGGATGCTTCATAGTTTATATACAGTTTGAAGACTTTCTTCCATTCTACTTGCTATTTCTTCCTTCCATCTTCTGTCTTTGCTTTCGAGTTACTTCCTCGAAGATGTTCCTTGAAGTAATAACACATAGAAATGCTGGAAGACTCACCTTTCAGCCACCAAGGATCTTCAATGTTTGACTGAATATTTTAATGCATTCCTGAATACTTAACCACTGCTCATGAAAGAGCTGGCAAAGGCCTATGTCAGGGGACAAGGTAGCCATTCCGGATGACTAACAGAAGTGATTTCCTGAAGGCCATTCTTACCAATTGACTGTTCAGTTCTCTAAATGGACACAGTGAGGAAGATCACATTAGTTCATGATGAGCTTGGGTGGATATTAAAAGAAACACAATCCTCTTACAGTGTGGAAAGTGTGCAAGCATAGAGCTGGGGGCTGAGGGAGGAGCGAATCTTTCTTTCTCTGAATAGATCTAGAATTACAGTCGCAATCTATCTTTTCTGTTACAGGCAACCAAGGATGTAACATGGCTGCTTCTATGTATTAGCAAGGCCTCCAAAGATGTTTCTCCTCCTAACTGAAGAAAATAGTGAGGCTCAGCAAATCCTTGGCCTTGAATGTTTTTACAGACAGATGGTACAGGAAGAGCAGAGGGTGAGGAGGAAAAATAATTAGGCCAAACCCCTCACAAGGACCTGCTCCAGTGATGCCATTACAAAAACAATGACTTAAGTGTACATTCACTGAGTAGACCTCTTTTGGCAAGGCCTGTCCTAAATAGCAGGAGGTCAAGAGTCCATTAATAGGGCACTACCATCCCTCCAATGGCCAAAGATGCATCCTATGGAGTTCTAGTGTTTCTAGTTTGAGGAAACACCAGAGCTCACTAGCTGAGAACTCCAAATGCCCCGCCATAAAGTCCAATCCCAGAATTCCATAGGATGTTGCTATGGCGGCAAAAGTGGGATCATAACACAATAACTTAGTAGCTAGCTTTCCATATCAGTGGATTCTATAGCCATGGATTCCCACAACCATGGCTTGAAAATGCTCCCCCCAAAAACCAAGACACAAACCTTGATTTTGCCATTTTATATAAGGAACATTATTTTACTATATTGCTGTATACAATTTGAGTATCTGCAGATTTTGGTATCTACAGGTGTCCTGGAACCAAACACTAGTGGATACCAAGGGCTCACTGAAAAGGTTTGCAGAGGCCCTGGGAGTAGCAAAGGCCACTAATGTTAGTACTGACCTCCACCCTAGAGCACAAAAAGGCTGTGGAGATGTCTACCCTTTCTAGATTTAGGATCCCTGTGATAGGGCATGTACCCAATACCTATCTGGCGTCCCAAGCCATGCTTAATTTCATGTGAACCTAGGTCAGAGGCATTATTGAATTATGAACTGTTTTTGAATTGAATGTTTATAACTGTTAAAACTGTGTTAATTGTAACTATGATTTTTAATATTTAGTCTTAGCTTCTAATGACTACCTGTTGTAAGCTGTCCTGAGTCCCTGTTTGGAGGTGAGAATAACGGGATATAAATGCTCGAAATAAAATAAATAAATAAAATGAGGCCCATGGTCAGCAGTAAGCAAAGCAGATGAATACAATACAGTGTGCGCGCGAGTGTGTTGGCTAATGGCAAACTGGCCTGGGCATCAACTGGCCCGATGGCAAGGGCCCCAGTAAACATTAGACAATATATTAAATATGTTAATGACCTTTGAGTAGCTTGAAAAGATAATGGTTCTGCTATTATTACAATTTTCAACTAAAATGTATGTTGCATTACTATTTTAATTAAAAATAATAAAATCATTTTTCAATGATATATTATGTTTAAGAATATAATAAATAACTGCAAAAATAATTCTGATTTGAGTTATGTGGGGCTGATGCATACATTATATGAGCTCAGATCTGTACTACCTATCTATATAATAAAAGTGTATGCAGGCATGTAGCGGGGGGGGGGGGGGGGGGGGGGCTTGAGGGGCTTCCCCCCCCCCCCCCCAATTCTCATGGTGGTTCGCGAAAAGGCCTTACTGGTGCATTATTTAAACTGTTATGTTTATTCATATCATGATCTGATCACCATACTCAATATATCCCATATGCATGGGGGTATTGGGGTAACAATACAAAAGGTTTGCTAGGTAGACCCTCTTTCACTCAGACTTAGCCCCCCCCCAAATCAAACTCAGCCCCCCCACCCGAATCAAAATCCTGGCTACGGGCCTGAGTGTGTGTGTGTGTGTGTGTATCCCATCTATTTACTCTGTACAATTCATTTTCAAATGTAATGATGTATGCATTACAAAATAAATATATAAATTTACTGTTCAATGTAATATGAGGTGGTGAGTGGCCACAAAAAGGCGGGTGGGAAGCTGTGGCCCTCTGTCTGGCCTCCCCACCAGACTTTCCAGGGCCTCCATCAGCTTCCCATCAGCCTTTTCACAGCCAGATGCCTCTCCCTCCTCTGTTCACACCTGGGATCTCTTGCCTAACAATGAAGACAGGGTTAGGTGTGCAATTCTAACACACCATCAAATGTGCACCTCAATGAGGAAATTTAGCCAAAAAAGGTGAGCGTTTGACTTGAGTAAATATGGTGTGTATGCATTTATGTATTTTCCAGGATGCCTCTCACATCCAGAGAGTCATGTCATTGCCAGTGAGGATGGATCTGAACCAAATGTAGCACTCATAACCATAATGGCCAACTTTAAATACTGGCGGGGTTTGTGGGGGAACTGACAGATGATGTAGTTCACCCAAATCAAGAGAACGCTATGAACCTCACTGACGATGGATTGGAATCAAACTTGGCACATATACCCATCATGACCAACTGTACATACAGAGGGAGCTTGACAGAGGATGATGGGAACTGTAGTTCACCCAAATCAAGAGATTTGAACCCCATTGATGATGGATTGGAACCAAACTTGGTACATATACCCATCATGACCAACTGTACATACAGAGGGAGCTTGACAGGGGATGGTGGGAATTGTAGTTCACCCAAATCAAGAGATTTGAACCCCACTGATGATTGACTGGACCCAAACTTAGCACATATACCCATCATGGCCAACTGTACATACAGAGGGAGCTTGACTGAGAATGATGGGAGTTCTGGTCCACCCAACATCAGAAAACACCAACACATACACCCATCACAACCAACTGTATACACAGAAGGGGATTGACAGAGGATTATGGGAGTTGCAGTCCACCAAAATCCTGAGCAAGCCATGAATCCCACTGATGATGGATCTAGAGCAGACTTGGCACACATACCCATCATGACCAATTGTTCATAAAGAGGGGATTGACAGAGGGTGAAAGGAGTTGTATCCACCACACCCAGAGAGCCGGTAATGGGAGTTGTAGTGTACATACATCCAGGGAGCTCTGTCAATCTCACCAGCGATGGATCCAGGCCAAATCCAGAACACAGTTCTGTCAGGACTGCCTGGAAAGACTGGCAAGGTTTCAGGAGGGATTGAGAGAGGAGAATGGGAGGTGTATCCTACATCCAAAGGGCCCTATGGATTTGTATTGTTGAAGGCTTTCATGGCTGGAATCACTGGGTTGTTGTAGGTTTCTCAGGCTTTATGGCCACGTTCTAGATTTCTAATGGGACCACTCATAACATCCACAACCAAGCAATGACTATTTCTAACATGGATCATTACAAAAGACCTTAGAGTAGAAATCAAGTGACACAGCCTTATACAGTTGCGGGTGGGCCCCCTTTGCCTCCTGGCAAGCAGTATGTTTTCGCGTGGGGGGAAAGGCAGGCAGGAGGCGCTGCCCCTGCACCACTCCATCGAAAGGAGCCTAAGGACTAAATGGGACAAGGGGATGCGGTTACATAACACCACGGGCAGAGGAAGGCAATGTGCCAAGCGAAAGCAGGGAGGGAGGGAGGCAGGGAGGGAAGGAAGGAGGGGAGAAACCACGATGAGAAAGAGCCTTCCGCAGTTCTCCCTCTTCCTTTGGAGATGGGGAGACGGGCCCTTTGCAAAGGCACCGCATGCATCAAGGTCAGCATCCCCGATTCAGGCTCTGTTTCAGAAGCCTCAAGCAACCCCCTCCCTCTCCCCCTCCCTTTCCTTGAGAGGCATCAGGATGCGCGCGCGCACACTCACAAGGGCTCCGCAAACGATGCGCGCGCACAAGGGACCCGCAAAACAGGCAGGCGCGCGCACTCTCTCGCGCCCGCCTTCAGCCTGAGAGGAAAATGACACCCGGGAGATGGAGGGGGGAGAGGTATTCCTATTCGATATTGTGAGGGAAATAGCTCACCTTTTCCTGCGCCCTGCTCAGCCTCTTTTGGACGTTTTTGGCGAAGATGCCCGTCTTCATGTCGGCCATGGCGGCTGGTTCCAGGGAGGCCGCCGAAGGAGCGAAGCGAGCGGAGACAGCGAGGGAAAGGCAGGCGAGAGAAGCCGAGGAGGAGGAGGCGGAGGCGGAGGAGGGAAAGGAGGGGCGGGGCCAAGAGGAGGAGGGGAGGGGCCTGAAAGGGGCACGCGGGCAGCGCGCGCTCCCTGCATGGAGCAACAAGCCCATAGTGATGCTTATCATACTCAGGCCCCTGCCACGCAGCTGAAGAAAATCCCACATTACCTTCTTTGAACTGCAATATATGGTAGTATGGACTCAGATAACCCAGTTCAAAGCAGATATTGTGGGATTTTCTGCTTTGATACTTTAGGTCAGGGGTCCTCAAACTTTTTTAACAGAGGCCAGGTCACAGTCCCTCAAACTATTGGAGGGCCAGATTATAACTTGAAAAAAAATGATCGAATTCCTATACACACTGCACATATCTTATTTGTAGTGCAAAAACACTTTAAAACAACACAATAATTAAAATGAAGAACAATTTTACAAATATAAGCTTATTAGTATTTCAGTATTTCATCTATTTCTGCTTCATTGACTGTTCTAAAGCCTTTGACTGTGTGGATCATAATAAATTGTGGCAAGTTCTTGGATGGGCATACCAAGCCACCTTGTCTCTCTCCTGAGGAATCTGTACAAGGACCAAGTAGCAACAGTAAGAACTGACCACGGAACAACAGACTGGTTCAAGATTGGGAAAGGCGTACGGCAAGGCTGCATACTCTCACCCAACCTTTTTAACATGTATGCAGAACACATCATGCAATGTGCGGGGCTTGATGAATGCAAAGCTGGGGTGAAAATTGCTGGAAGAAACATTAACAACCTCAGATATGCAGATGACACCACTCTGATGGCCGAAAGCGAGGAGGAGCTGAGGAGCCTTCTAATCAAGGTGAAAGAAGAAAGTGCAAAAGCTGGGTTGCAGCTAAACATAAAAAAAAAAAAAACAAGATTATGGCAACAAGAATGATTGACAACTGGAAAATAGAGGGAGAAAATGTGGAGGCCGTGACAGACTTTGTATTTATAGGTGCAAAGATTACTGCAGATGCAGACTGTGGCCAGGAAATCAGAAGACGCTTACTTCTTGGGAGGAGAGCAATGTCCAGTCTCGATAAAATAGTAAAGAGTAGAGACATCAGACTGGCAACAAAGATCCGCCTAGTCAAAGCCATGGTATTCTCTGTAGTAACCTACGGATGTGAGAGCTGGACCTTAGGGAAGGCTGAGCGAAGGAAGATAGATGCTTTTGAACTGTGGTGTTGGAGGAAAGTTCTGAGAGTGCCTTGGACTGCGAGAAGATCCAACCAGTCCATCCTCCAGGAAATAAAGCCTGACTGCTCATTGGAGGGAAGGATACTAGACACAAAGTTGAAGTACTTTGGCCACATCATGAGGAGACAGCAAAGCCTAGAGAAGACAATTATGCTGGGGAAAGTGGAAGGCAAAAGGAAGAGGGGCCGACCAAGGGCAAGATGGATGGATGGCATCCTTGAAGTGACTGAACTGACCTTGAAGGAGCTGGGGGTGGTGACGGCTGACAGGGAGCTCTGGCGTGGGCTGGTCCATGAGGTCACAAAGAGTCAGAGACGACTGAACGAATGAACAACAACAGTATTTCAGTGGGAAATGTGGGTCCGCTTTTGGCTGATGAGATAGGATTGTTGTTGTTGTTGTTGTGTGCCTTCAAGTCATTTCAGACTTAGGTTGACTCAGAGCGAGGGCCAGGTACATGACCTTGGAGGGCTGTATCCGGCCCTTGGGCCATAGTTTGAAAACCCCTGATCTAGGTTATATGGCTGTGGGATAAACTGACTCGCTATTAGAGAACATAACCTTTTAAAGAAGTGTCAAAAACCCTTAGAGCAGAATCTCCTAGAATCATAGAGTTGGAAGAGACCTCATGGGCCACCCAGTCCAACCCCCTGCCAAGAAGCAGGAAAATTGCATTCAAAGCACCCCCAACAGATGGCCATCCAGCTTCTGTTTAAAAGCCTCCAAAGAAGGAGCCTCCACCACACTCCGGGGCAGAGAGTTCCACTACTGAATAGCTCTCACAGTTAAGAAGTTCTTCCTAATGTTTAGATGGAGTCTCCTTTCTTGCAGTTTGAAGCCATTGTTCCGCATCCTAGTCTCCAGGACAGCAGAAAACAAGCTTGCTCCCTCTTCCCTATGACTTCCTCTCACGTATTTATACAAGACTATCATGTCTCTTCTCAGCCTTCTCTTCTTCAGGCTAAACATGCCCAGCTCTTTAAGCCACTCCTCATAGGGCTTGTTCTCCAGACCCTTGAACATTTTAGTCGCCCTCCTCTGGACACATTCCAGCTTGTCAATAGTAAAGGTAAAGGTTTTCCCCTGACATTAAGTTCAGTAGTCTCCGACTCTGGGGTGTGGTGCTCATCTCCATTTCTAAGCCGAACAGCGGTGTTGTCCATAGACACCTCCAAGGTCACGTGGCCAGCATGACTGCATGGAGCGCCGTTACCTTCCTGCCTATTGATCTACTTACATTTGCATGTTTTCGAACTGCTAGGTTGGCAGAAGCTGGGGCTGACAGCGGAAGTTTATGTCACTCCCCGGATTCAACCTGCAACCTTTTGATCAAAAAGCTCAGCAGCTCAGCACTTTAACCCAATGCGCCACCAGGGGCTCATCAATAGCTTGTCAATATCTCTCTTCAGTTGTGGTGCCCAGAATTGGACACAGTATTCCAGGTGTGGTCTAACCAAGGCGGAATAGAGGGGTAGCATTACTTCCCTGGATCTAGGCACTATACTCCTATTTATGCAGGCCAAAATCCCATTGGCCTTTTTGCTGCCGCATCACATTGCTGGCTCATGTTTAACTTGTTGTCCACGAGGACAAGAAGTCCACAAGGCCCTTCCACACAGCTGAATAAAAGACTACATTATCTGCTTTTAACTGGGATATATGGTTGTGTGGACCCAGGGCCCTTCCACACAGCCCTATATCCCAGAATATCAAGGCAGAAATCCCACAATATGTGTTTTGAATTGGATTATCTGAGCCCCTGGTGGCACAGTGGGTTAAACCACTGAGCTGCTAAACTTGTTGACTGAAAGGTCACAGGTTTGAATCTGGTGAGCGGCGTGAGCTTTCACTGTCAGCCCCAGCTTCTGCCAACAGTTTGAAAACATGCAAATGTGAGTAGATCAATAGGTACCGCTCCAGCGGGAAGGTAATGGTTCTGGTATTCAGTCATAATGGTCACATGACCTTGGACGTGTCTACGGACAACGCTGGCTTAGAAATTGAAATGAGCACCAACTCCTAGAGTCAGACATGACTGGACTTAATGTCAGGGGAAAATCTTTACCTTTACCTATCTGAGTTCACACTCAGATAATGTGAGATTTTTTTGCCTTGATACTCTAGATCAGGGGTCCTCAAACTAAGGCCTGAGGGCCAGATATGGCTCTCCAAGGTCATTTACCCGGACCTCACTCAGGGTCAAACAAACTCTGTAATGGGTTATTGTAGGTTTTTTCAGGCTGTATGGCCATGGTCTAGAATCTAGACCATGACCATACAGCCCAAAAAAACCTACAACAACCCAGTGAATCCGGCCATGAAAGCCTTCGACAATACAAAGTCTGAAATGACTTGAAAGCACACAACAACAACAACAACAACAACAACAACAATCCTATCTCATCAGCCAAAAGCAGGCCCACACTTCCCATTGAAATACTAATAAGCTTACGTTTGTTTAAATTGTTCTTCATTTTAATTATTGTATTGTTTTTACGTGGTTTTTTTGCACTACAAATAAGATATGTGCCATGTGCATAGGAATTCATTCATGCTTTTTTCAAATTATAATCTGCCCTCCAACAGTTTGAGGGACTGTGACCTGGGCCTTTGTTTAAAAAGTTTGAGGACCCCTGGTCTAGATTATATGGCTGTGTGGAAGGGCTCTTCTTCCCCATTGCCAAATAATCTGGGATAAACTGACTCACTATTAGAAAACATAACCTTTTAGAGAAGAGCCAAAAAAAGAAACCCTTTAGAGCAGAATCTCCTCTTGTAGTATATAACCAAATATAATGATGCTAGGAAATGGTTTCAGTTGTTAGACTGAATAACCAGCAATCTCTGATCTGTTCAAGAAAACAGATTTGCCAGTGCATAAAAAACAGCAGAGCTTTATAAGTGTTTATCTTTTCCGTGCCCAAAAAAGTATGCTCCATAAAACAACTGGTTTCATATCATGCACTCAAGAGACAAAAATGAAGTAGACTTTGGTGGAAAAAACATATTTGGTTTACTCCCAACTTTCATGTGTTCAGCACACACAGGTACAAAAACTTATTAGTCCAGTTTCAAATATCTTTGAGATGGTTCCTTGTACCAGCTGGCCAGGGCATCTCTCTTGTAGCAAAACAGCTATCAACAGGTCACATAGTGAGTGAGTGAGAGAGAGCATGCGCTTTGCAGCCCCTTTTTATAACTTCTCAGGACCCTTCCACACTGCCATATAACCCAGAACATCAAGGCAGAAAATCCCACAATATCTGCTTTGAACTGGGTTATCTACGTCCACCCTGCCATATATTTCAGTTCAAACCAGAAAATGTGGGATTTTATTCAGCTGTGTAAAGGAAGCTGTAGACTAGAACATACATACAGGGAACAGTAAACAATGAGATCATACACAAACAGATTGCTAGAGCAAGCTTGTCATTCCAACACTTTCCACATAACACTAATAATAATAACAATAATAATTTTATTTCTTACCCTCCTTTCCTCATGGCTAGAGGTGGGTTACAAAACAATTAAAATACATAAGCACAGCAAAAAACATCACAATACCATCGTTGGAGGGGTTCAAGGAGTGCTTTGATTGTAGGTGAACTATAAATCCCAGCAACTACAACTCCCAAATATCAAGCTCTATCTTCCCCAAACTCCACCAGTGTTCACATTTGGGCATATTAAGTATTGTTTGAGTCCACAGTGCTCTCTGGATATAGGTGAACTACAACTCCAAAACTGAAGGTCAATGCCCACCAAACCCTTTCAGTATTTTCTGTTG